TTACACACCCTCTGACTGCAGTTCAATTACTCGTTACCTACACATTGTCCCGTCACGTTGTGCCCATCTTATATATACCAGACTACCCCCAATCTAGTAATCTTCCGACAATTCACGAAGGTTCGAGAAAGAAGTGGCGTGACACTAGTCACGTGACCTCGCTGACGCAACAATATCATAAACTGGTTTTCCATGTTAAAAAGATTTATATTAGACCAGTTGTTCACGAAAACTAATTATCGTGGATTCTACTCAAAAAACATGTCAAAACACATGAATATTTTCCTTTAGCAACAAAATTTTCTCCAGAGGTTATCAGTATTGCCATGAATAGCAAAGGGGATGTTGAATCTATTAAAAGATGTCCGATAAAGAAAATACTATTTTTATCGCAAGTATGAAAACCCAGTTTTAGTATTATAACCTCTTAGACTTACCGCTGGGTCACCAGGGGTGGGATGTGTATTATATTAGCATTCTCTCTAGAGGATGTTTCATCTGATGTTTATATCAAACACTCAGACATATGTGTAATATAATCTCAATTATGGTTGTGTACACAGACTTGTAAAAATATTCTACCTTTTTAAGTTTTGAAAATAATTCAAGTAAAACAAAATACCAAACTTATAAATATATTTAGGACAAGTTCGGATACAGCCTAATCGATAGGCCTATTCTGATACGCTTTCTACTTGTTTTTAGTTTTATACGAATTTTTAAAGTTCTTCATTTATCTAGTTTCAATGCAGTTTTAGCACAAACCGTGGTACAGAAAACCGTTCAAGTTACCTTGTTCTAAATGCCAGTGTTGCCCATGTTACCAGAAAAACATAATGACGTTTCTTTGGCTAAAAATAGTAGTATCGTTACGTATATCATTGCTTATTTTAAAATGTAAGGAGTAACGACTCATTACTCGATATTTTTCAAATAAATACCCGTATTCTGTATATAAAACAAGTACTGTTTACATCTGGAAATGCATCATTGTGAACAGACTTTAGAAGAGATTTATCTAGAAAAGCACCAACTACTTGAGCACTTTTGTGTCCAGTACTTGAATTCCAACAAGTTGGACAAGGAACAACCAAACATCTCTCTATTTCTTTCTCATTTGTGTCAGTAACTACAGTGCTTCTGCTCCGTTTATTCTACGGGGTTTGAGCTTTTGATAGTGCTGATCGAGACACTTTTTTTTTATTCTAGCGTTATTTAAAGCTTTCTCTACATCAGTAGCAATCAGAGTCAATGTGTGAGAGGCGCACCTTTGACAGTCTGACAAAATGCGTATACACAAATGAGACCATACCTCATCATCAACAGCCAATATATCAACTAGAGAATGAATTTCTACGGCAAGTTTGTCTGAGTCATCATCATCTTCTTCATTTATGACTGCATCATCACTGTTGGATACAAGACTGTTTAGTGTTATAATTTAATTTACTAGGTGATTTAATTTAACGATTATTTACTTTTCAAAACAAGAGAGTTAAAAGTAATTATTTTAAAGGCGATAGTTGTGACAAGTTTGATTGTGTAACTCGTTGAGAATCGTACGCTGTGTTTGCTTTACTAATGCGCACCAGTGGCACAGCGGTGTGTCTGCGGACTTACAACACTAGAATCCGGGTTTCGATACCCATGGTGGGCAGAGCACAGATAGCCCATTGTGTAGCCTTGAGCTTAATTACAAATAAACAAACAAAGCTTTAATAATATTTATGACGTCGCGTTACTCGAATCTTCGGTGTTTTTCTCGTTACCTTAACTGAGTATTGTTCCATTATAGCGTCGCGAAGTTTGTCAAAAATTCGAGGTCTTGCTGAATAAATATATATAAGTGACTCGCGAGCGCAAGTAAGGAGAATCAGAAAAAAGTTAAGTGAGAAATATTTAAACAGATGTGGACTGAGTGATTGGCAGTTTAGCCTTGTCGGGTGATTTATAAAGAAGTTAGAAGTAAAGTTCATAAAGTAAAGTAAAGTGAAGTGAAAGTAAAATTTTAGAAAAAAACTAGAAAACGTGAAGTTAGCTGCCGTGTGAGTGATTAGCCATAATGGGCGATATTTTAAAGTGAGTTTCACAGTTTAATGGAGATAATGAAAATTAATTTGTCGTTTCAAAGGGTATTATAAAGTAATTGAACCCGTCTGTGTGGACTTTGACGAAAAGAAGACAATATTTAAAATTCAAGATACAGCTGTGGTACCCCACGAGGTAACGTAAGTGACTTATTCACTGATACTATTGTGATAAGAGTAGAGAAAAATAATTCGTCTTGTCAATTGGATTCTAAGGTAATTGAATCAGCCTGTGTGGATTTTTGACAAGAAAAGAGAATTATTTAGAGTTTTAGATACAATTGTGATATCCCATAGTGCAAAGAACTTTTGTACTTATTATTGACTTTTTAAATATATATTATTTTAAAAGAAGTGGATTGTGTTCTGTCCATGTATTGTTCGAATATATTGCCAAGTCAGAGACACCTACTGTAGAAGAATCTCATCCCACACATATATACATAAAACCTTGACAATCACCACTACCAGCAATCAC